CATTAAGAGAGCCGCCTGACCTGGTCAACACGTCCTTCACCAGTGCGAACCTGATGGGACACATTCGAAGGGGAGCTGTTTGGTCCGCTTCGCTGGCCGTCTGGAGGGATGAGATGCAGATACAATGCCGGAAGCTGGAGACAGCAGATGCGGTCTTGTTTGACAATCAGTTTATCTGTGATGCTAATGGCAACCTGTTCCCCTGGCAAGGCAAAGTGGGCGCCTCTGGGTGCCAATGGGCAGAAACAGGAGTGTATACGGGATGGCCAGCGAGGGTAGTGAAGGTCTGAGGAAGAAATGAGGGGGAAGCTCCATTGGCAGTCCAAGCGGCCACAGCGACTGGGGGAGCTGAGAGAGGCCATTCCGCCTCAGTGGGCGGAACTGCTAAAGGAAGGGGGGCTGCAGAAGGGGGAGTGGGTGAGGAGAAAGGGGGAGGTCCGTCCGAGGACTCTCTATAGACTTGATGGGAAACAAGTGGAAGACAGGGTGGAGGTAACGGAATGGGTAGTGAGGGCGGGGTATGAGGGGCTCGGCCCCCTGCTGATTGGTGCAGGTCAGGATGGTATGCCCCACCCATGCCAGATCGACTCGAAGGGGGTGGAGCGTGTTGGTGTGTAAAGGGGGCAAGTGGGGGGATGAGGAGTATCTTCCCTTCTGCATTAGTAAAGCACGATGTGATTTGGTGCTTGACCCGCAGGAATGGTACCTCCCCCACAAAATTATAGCAAGAAAAGCATTCCGGTCCAACAGCTCACCACCAACTTGCACCAAGTCATCTACTGGGCGAAAAGGGTGGATATTTTGACAGAGCTCTGGGACTGATGGGAAAAAGGGACTGGCTTCCCCCAGCTTTGATGGCTAGATGGACACACCGGAAATGGAAGGAGCAGTGTGCTCTGCTTACCTGACCAGAAGGTGGGACTGCAACTGCTATGGATGATATATCACCTTGCAGTCACTATGCCCCAGTGGCTCTCCTCCTAGAGCAAGCATAAGGGGTAATGCTGCTCAGCCCCGGGATGTGGGCAGGTGGAGTCGATCCCACATATCCTTTTAGTGTGCAGTGCTGTGGTACAACAATTTTTGGAGTGGAGGTCAATTGAAATGGCGGAGTCCGTGGGTTTAGTAAGATAAATAGCACAGCTGCCTGGATGACATTTCCAGTACTCAGAGTAAACCTGACAGCCTTAGAAACAAGGGCCGACATAGTATAGTTACAGGATTAGAAAAGAACACGTAAGTCAGATGAGTGTCAAGTCATGAAAGTAAGTCCAGTAGGTTAACTTAGGCAGGGGTGAGGGGTGGTACATCCTTCCTCTGGGAAGTAATCAATGCCGTCCACTTGGGCCTCCCAACTGTGGTGGGGAGGAGCGTGTGTGAGTATCTCTGTAATCCTTTTGACTTGCCGGGGGAATAGGAACCGGACTGTTGCTCCCCAGAATGGTAGGAGCCAGAACCAGAAGGTCCTGTTTCTTTGCATATGAAAAAAAAAGGAAGAAGAAATGGCGGAGTCCTCCCCATGGGCGGTGAATGAAGACGACACTGCAGCGATCTTGTTAGGGGCCATGATGGCAGTGAGACGGGAAGATAAAAACCGCATCTACGCAGCCGAAACGATTAGAGGGGAAGTGCTTTGGGCAATCTGGACGCTCCACAACGAAAGGATCCACGAGGGTAAGGAGGTGACAATGCCGGAAATCAGGAATAGAGCGCTGGAGAATATGCAAGCGGCTTAGCAGGTGGACTTCCAGAAATGCAGACGGAACTTGGGCCCTGAGGCCGCTGACGGCAGTAAAGTTCTGGAAGGCGTGGGGTGCCTATCCCAGCTTGGCCATGAAGGAGCCGGCGACAGGAAGGCTGACCTTAGGCCCCACCCTCCAGAAGTATGCTGTGGCCATGGATGAGTAGGTTCCAGGTCACCCTGCAACATAGGTAGGAGGATAGAGGTAGAGGGATGGGTACGTAGTTAGTTCGCCTTATAGGTGGGGGAGTAATGGTAGAGGGTAGGTAGGGGCGGGGATAGGGATAAAAGGAAAAGTCTTAAAAAGGGAGGAAAAAGGAGAACTGGGGATGTGGACCTTTGAGGGAATGCTGGGAAAATTGAAGAAATTAGGGACATGACAGGTGGTGGATTAGAAAGCTGGTAGAGTGAGTAAGCGGTGAGAGATTTGGAAAGAGGAGGACGGTATTTAGAGGCAGCAGGGTTGTCTGGCAAGGTGGTGAGGGCAAATAGGGAGCGGTAACTAAGGTGCAGGTGGTGAATACAGAGAATGGAGGGGTGTGGGGATACTGGGGAGACAGGGTATGGCTGCACTTAAACGAGATCCCAGGACTGGAGGGGCGACCGGGTGGCCCTCTTCAGCCCCCCAGGGACACGCAAAGCATGCGACAGGGTACCGTGGGTTGGTTTCCCGGCCACCTTGCGGGCCCCGGACAGGGGAAACTGGACATGCGTCATAGCCCCCCCCCCCCCAGCCCCCCGTGTACAGCGACTAGGATGGCAGGGGTAGGGGATCCTTGCTCATTCTGAACTCTTATTATTGATTCCATGCTTGCCGGTGATAACCAACCGGACTGATGCCCCCCAGAATAGATGGGGCCTTGGGGTTGGGGAAGAAAACAAAAAACCGAAAGAAGGAAAGAAAAGAAAGACACGCGCAGGAAAAGGCAAAAGAACGGTTTCATCGTGGTTCATACTGTCTGCTATTGACCTCGTTTGTTCAGCAAAATGCACCCTTCTAGTTGATAGATATGTGACAATATTCTGCATGTATGTTTCCAGATGAAACGGTTTTCACCTTTGCAGAAGCAGATGCAGATCCCAGGGTTCGATCCCTAGACCTTACCTGCAGCCGTGTACAGTATCGAGTAGACCCCTGTGTGTTTTGAACCCACGACCTATGTTTTAGACTTTTAGTAGTGACTGTACTTTGTCATAGGTCCCTGTAGTTGTAGGGGTTCGATCTGTAGATCTGTCAAGTAGGGGTTACAGATGTGTAGAGATCGAAACTGCTAGGCTAGAGGTCTGTAGGTAAGTCGTAGGTCCAGCTGCGTCGAGTAGGCAGTGCGACTGCATCGAGTCGGCAGTGCAATGCAGTGCAGTCAGCAGTACCGGTCCAGTCAGTCGCAGTCCAGTCAAGCAAGTACCATGTGGGACTGTGTACACCGAGGGCCTGGAGGAAAGGGGCAGACCAGCGACCAACAGAAGTATAAATCAAGAGGCAGCGTCCAGGGATGCATTCATTCGCTGCGTAAAACATGCGGAAGCGCTGTCTCAAGCGACTTGTGCGAGGTGGTCTGCAGAGCGCCCGAGGTCGAAGAGGGCTGGAAAGTTAGCGTAGCCATAGTTAGTGGTTAAGCGGCCATAGCCGCTGTAGATAGGAGAGAGACGCAGGAGTGTGTATGTGTGTGGGGTATTCAGGGTGATCCAGAGTTGAGTGAGTGTGAACAGTGGTGTTGGAAACAGTTTCGAGAGTTGGATGTACAGGCGTTGAAGCGCCATAGCCTGTTGCAGCAAGTTTGCACCTGAACTGTGTTCTCGAGTTCCATATCTCTGAGTTTTGAGTGGGCGCTGTGCGCCAGTGTGAATCGCCATCTGTTTGCATGTATGTGACGCGAAGAAGAAAGCGAGTCTGATTGCACAGAGGTTCTTTTTATCAAAACAGAATGTGTGAAGAACCAGAAAAAACTTCAAAAAAAGAGGATCTGGACCCAAACAGCATCGAGACGTGGGTGCCCAGACCCCAATCCTAGTTGTTACAAAACAGTTGAAAACACTAAGGGTCCAATGGACAAAATTGTTCTATTTGAGTGCCATTTCTTTCCTTGTTTTTTTTGCCCTATTTATTATTGGGTAGTTCCCATTATTTGGAACTTGTTGTTTACCTCAAGTACAACGTCTACGAATTTACTACACATTCAGTTACAACTGAAGATTTATGAGTTATTATTATTATTATTATTATTATTATTATTATTATTATGAACAAAGCCGTGGCATTTCATTAATATCTTGAAATTGAGGCCGGGGACCTCACAATTCCACCTGGAGTTTTCCTGGCAGCATTAGCCAGTTTCACTTATGAAGTTATGATGTAACCAGTAAGACCAAACCCTATTCCTCGCGTTACCCCTAACCCCTCTCTAGTTGTCTCTTCTCCTTTCTATCCTTTCTGATTCCTGATTTACTGCTTAAATAAATGCTACCCTAAAACCCTAAACCCTAAGCCCTAACTATGACCCCTAGTTCTACTTCTATTTTCTACTTCCTCATTTGATATTTAACTAAAACTTCCTTACCCCCTCTTTTACGCCCTCCTGTATGTCTAGCTACACCTTTCCTCTTGCCCCCTCATCCACCCCCTCTTCTCTTTACGTTCTAACTGGTTTCCTGAGCTCACCATTTGAATGAGAGTCCTGTACCCTGTATGGTTACCACTTTTTCCCCTCCCAACACTCTTAGGATAAATAGAGTCCTCAATTCTTGCGCCTGCTCTGGGTGCTGTCGGTTTTGCGTTTGCACCCTTTTCCATTGCGCCTGAAGTTTGGATTCGAGGAGTCCATAGTATATCTCCCTCGCCTCCTGCCTGTGCATCGGTCTCTTTTTTATGGTAGTGTCTCTTCAATATCGTCCATAGCATGTATTGTCTCTGTTCGTATTTTACTATTTTGTTTGTTTCATCAATATGTTCTCACGTACCAGTCTTCATGATCTTCTTAATATAATAAAAAAGATTCAAAACGTATTTTAGTAAAAACGTGTATCAGCTTTCTGATTGTTTGGATCATAACTATGGTTTGAGTTCTCGAGTCTTGGCTAAGTTGCCTTGTCAAGTAACAGTTATGGGTGTGTAACATTTGGCTAACAGCCTGGTACTTTCGCTCGATCATTGTGCCAATTGTCTGCCAAGGAAGCTTCTTCGTCTTCTTCAAATTTTCTTTTTTTGTGGCTTCTGGGTAACGACATGAAACGAAATGAAATGTTGTGGCATGCCTTGCAGTTGAAGTTCAATCAGGGCTTGATGGCTTCTATATGAAGATGTACAATGGGACATACGTCAAATGCATTCACAACTCTGCAACCGGAGGGCGTCTTCCTGATTATCCATCGCAGCCAGCGATCGTTCTCAAGTTGAACGATGGGAGCGATCTCTTGTTGCCGATTCTTGTTCGTAAGTACGGCAGTCACTCTGTCTCCGCCGCAGTGTCTGTGTCTATGTACAGTCCTGGGCTTGCCTTTATTTATTCCGGCTGTTCAGAATGATTTTTTTTTTCTTTTTCTTTTTTTCGAAAGACGTCTGCTGGGGCTACTATAGCTGTCCAGAATGCTGCAATTTGCAAAAGAAGAGAAGTTAGAAGTTATAACTTATGAAGTAATATAAACTTTTTTTTTATAGAGACACACAGCCCCTTTATGTTCTGGGGGGGGGAACAGTCTGGTTACTTATCAGCAGCAAGCATGAAATGAAACAGGAAACAGAGAACAAAAAAAAGAGTCGTAGTCTAAAAGAGCCAGCCACCAACGGGCGGCGGGAGACTCACTAAAGTGCCCAGTCCCGCCCAGTGAGCACTGAAAGATTATGCGGCTTGTCCTCCTGTACTACTTTTCAACAGCTCATAGAAAAGGAAGAAAACTCAATAAATACAAAAAGAAGAAAACTTAAATACAAAAAGGAAAAATGTGGAATGTCTTCAGCAGTCCTTTGGGACATCCGTTAAATTTGGAACGATACACAGAGAAGATTAGCATCGCCCCTGTGCAAGGGTGACACACATAAATTGAGAAATGATTCATTTTAATTAACAACAAAGGAAACAATATCAGCATCCATCACTCATGCAAACTTGATCAGAAGCAAGTCAGGATTGATTGGAAAATTGGAAACTTACTTAACCACCAGTACTTCGGAGCCTCTCTTTTTCCCGACGTGGATTTCTGCTGCAGCATGCTGATAGAAAGAACCAGTGCGTGGCAGATTTTCTTTGAGAGCGCCGACAACCATTCCGGTCCCTGGCAGACTGATCCCCAAAGGTTGCGGTACATGTTTACAGCTGCTGCATTGGAATGAAATGGCTGGGAAACGCACTGGTAGGGTCGTTTAAGTTGTTTAACACCTATACCTCGACTGGAGCATCTCCCGAGCACACGATAAAAACAAGAAAAATGTGTGCATGCTCACATGGGGTGCCTGGCTGCTCAACAAATGCCACTGGAAATACGGTCAAACTTCAAATAACACAGTATAGAGGCAGAACACACTGGCTATGGCTGCATCCAGGCTCTCTCCTTTTAGGTGCTAAAAATAGCGCTACCTCTTCTTCCTGTTATGCAAAACTGTACAAATTGCAACTGAACTTATTGAAGTGAAAACTGCTTCTGTCTCATCAGAAGCGTCTTGTCTTGTTTTTCCGACTGCCGGAACTCAGTTGGTACACATATCAACTGCTGAAACGCAGACCCCAGGTGAAATGAGAGACGGTTAATGGAGGCCTCAATTTTCAGACCACTTGTCAGGCCATTTATAACAAAACCCGAGGGTCATTTTAACCAAACTTGCCACCAATTCATAGAGTGGAGATCATACTAACTACTTACAAAAAAAAAAAAAAAAGGAACAACCTAGCTTACCAGGGCGGACGTTCGAGACCACTCTGAGTGTCCGACTTGTCCGATCGGACAATATCTGATGGTAATTGCAACAAAAATCCGGCCAGA